TTTTTTTTTAAGTTAACATTCTTTTATTTATTAGTTTTTATTGTTTTAAAAAGAAAAATATATATTTAATTAATTAATTTGTTTCTGCTGTTTATGGCCTTATAAAAATTGTATTCAACAATTTTATTGAGCGTGAGGCCGTTCTTAATGAAAAATTTTGGTGTGGAAAACAACAGAGGAGATTTTTATTATCACCCGGACGAACAGACTAAAATCCGGACTGACCGGTCAAAAACCGGACACCTGGCAACCCTGATAACAGGCACGAAATGAATTTCGTAGTCTTAAATCAAAAACATATCCATTGACTTCAGTTTAAAATATGTATTCAATGATTGTGACGGTAATGAACCCAAATCACAGTGACTTCGTTCTTTAAAATCTAAAGCTATGAGTACCACGTAAAAGGGAGCACTTGGAAAGATCCAAAAAAACCGTGCGTTGGTGCATCGCTTACAAAAACTAATGGATAAAGTGAACAAATAGCCTAATTTTGCAGCACCAGCACCATCAAAATTTTCAAATACCCACTACCATCCTCACCCCACACATTGTGCAAACATATGTATGTATGTGTACATATATCTCTATATTTATCTTTTCATCCTTGCAGTTGTACTGAGAAGAGCACCAAACTTTCGATATGCCGGTCGTAGCATCAGCGAATGTGTTGTTGACGAAGATGATGATGATGATGAGACGCATAGAACCGCATTGTCAACAGATTTAGTTGCCGTTGCGCATACTGATGCCCACCATGTCATTGCCGGCGACATCTATGCTGGCAATGTTGTTGGTGTGCTTGTCGATGCCGATGTAGATGACGATGATTTTACAACACTTTCGGAAATAAATGAACCACAACAGCTTAGGGCGTCAACAGCAGTTGCAATGGTGCCGCCATCCTACGCGCTCACAACAGCAACAATTGACGTTGATAATCTGATTGATGCAATCGACGCGACAACGACAATGACGGCGAGGACAACGACGGAAACTATCGCCTGCTCTGCCGCCACCGCTACAAGTACTAACAGCGACGGCAAGCACACTAATATTAGCGCTGTGCACACAAAAATGCAAGGCATGCAACCACACAAGCAGCAGAAACAACAACAACAACAACAACCTCAAACCGAGCAGCAATTGCTCGAAAGGCAGGTACGACCGCAAAATTTGCTTACTGCACCCTCGCAAATTGAAGCTCGAAGCGCTGAAGGTGGTGGGAGCGGCAGCAGTGGTGATGACAAATCACAACATTTGAGTGACATCGACAATGAATCCTTCAATAGCATTGATTTTGAGGCGGAAATCACCATAGCAGGTATGGCAGGCACCGGCAGCGCGGGAAGCGGGAATGGATCGCCAACAGTAGGCAATGCTGCAGAACGCATAGGCGCTGAAGCTGCTGCTGCTGTGGTTGACAGCGCCGCAAGTACCAAATTGAGCAGCAGCGGTGACACAATTGGCTCGTTCTTTAACAATTTGATTTCGAATGCAGGTGAGCTATTTTTCGAGACGAAGCAAAGGGCAACCGCAAAATGCTGCCGCGAGCGTAAGTGGAAATAGCAACAAACAGGCAGGCTTCTTGTTGACAGTGTTTTTGTATGCAAAGAGGATGCAATTTTCGTTGTTGCTTTTGATTTGGTGATACGTATGTATTTGTTTTTACAAATCATTTCATTCATCATTTTTCATTTGTTTGCTATATTATGAACTTCAGCAGAAACCTTGGACGGATCTCCTTCTATTGCTGCTGAAAACACCATGTCTTTATGGCGTTTTATTTTTTTATTTACTGACTCTCAAATTACAATGCGGGACAGCCATTTNGTTGACAGTATTTTTGTATGCAAAACGGATGCAATTTTCGTTGTTGCTTTTGATTTGGTGATACGTATGTATTTGTTTTTACAAATCATTTCATTCATCATTTTTCATTTGTTTGCTATATTATGAACTTCAGCAGAAACCTTGGACGGATCTCCTTCTATTGCTGCTGAAAACACCATGTCTTTATGGCGTTTTATTTTTTTATTTACTGACTCTCAAATTACAATGCGGGACAGCCATTTTAGGCCCTCGAGAATAGTATCCGTACGTAATCAAACCCTAAAAATATTTGGTCCCACGACTTTACAATGTNTGTCTTTATGGCGTTTTATTTTTTTATTTACTGACTCTCAAATTACAATGCGGGACAGCCATTTTAGGCACTCGAGAATAGTATCCGTACGTAATCAAACCCTAAAAATATTTGGTCCCACGACTTTACAATGTTGTCGTACAGTGGGACAAAGTTGACACCTACAGGTCAGAAATTTAATGCTAGCGATTTTTTTTTAATGAATAAATTACTTTAAACATAGTTCTTGCCTTCAGAATCCTATAGTAAAATTTACATTGACAACCAACAACCAATTATAATAAAAAATTCCGTGTTTAATTTAAGAAATTATCATTCGTATCACGTCATATAAAAGTAGATTTTGGTAAGAAAAAAAAAAATCTTAAAAGTCGACAGCATTTATTTAAAAAGTTTTAAATTTTTATAAAATTTTTTTTGAACTTGTAGTTCGCTGCGCAGCACGCGGAGNACCTATAGTAATATTTACATTGACAACCAACAACCAATTATAATAAAAAATTCCGTGTGTAATTTAAGAAATTATCATTCGTATCACGTCATATAAAAGTAGATTTTGGTAAGGAAAAAAAAAAATCTTAAAAGTCGACAGCATTTATTTAAAAAGTTTTAAATTTTTATAAAATTTTTTTTTGAACTTGTAGTTCGCTGCGCAGCACGCGGAGTATTTGCTAGTCGACGATATTTTTAAATCAAATATTTCTCNTCCTATAGTAAAATTTACATTGACAACCAACAACCAATTATAATAAAAAATTCCGTGTTTAATTTAAGAAATTATCATTCGTATCACGTCATATAAAAGTAGATTTTGGTAAGAAAAAAAAAAATCTTAAAAGTCGACAGCATTTATTTAAAAAGTTTTAAATTTTTATAAAATTTTTTTTGAACTTGTAGTTCGCTGCGCAGCACGCGGAGTATTTGCTAGTCGACGATATTTTTAAATCAAATATTTCTCAAATAATTTCGTTTGACACCAAAATTTTATAAGTTTTTATATAGGTGGCAACCCGCTTAAAAATTATTTTGGACAGTAAATTTTCTTAAGCCTCTTTCACTTTATACCCGTATTATAATCTGCCCTATCCTGAGTTTCGTCCGAAAAAAATTCAATCGAAAATTTTTCATCCGCCCTATAGTAAATATGTACATGGAAACCAAAAGTGAAAAATGAACCGGTTCGGGGAAAATGAAACTCATGTAAGGCTGAATATTTCATTTATTTGATCAATTTTTCAAATATAATTAATATAATATAATATAATATAATTTTCAATGCACAAGAATCCAAAAATTGTTGATTTGGCTTCTGTTTTTCTATTAANAAATTTTTCAAATATAATTAATATAATATAATATAATTTTGAATGCACAAGAATCCAAAAATTGTTGATTTGGCTTCTGTTTTTCTATTAAAGACCTCCATTTAAATTTTTCTTTAATATCTACTCCCTGCCCACCTCTAGTTCATACTCCTCACATAAATATTTAGTTCATTCAGTCTTAAAGTAAAAATATTTCAAAATGTATGAACTAAAGGTGGGCAGTGGTTATATATGTACATATGTATGTACATTAGGGTGACCCTTAAATGTAGCAAGCAAATTTTGTTGCATCCGATTTCCTAAGCTTCAACCCTTACGTCGATGCTACTATAGTCGAAGATATCACATATAAAATTTGATCCCGATTGGAGACGCTTAATGCGTGTCGCACAGAGGCCAAAGTTCAGATTACTCTATGAAGACGTCATAACTGACTCTAATCGTGACAAAAAGGTGGCAACTCTTTTACAAAATATAAAATCAGTTTGCACATCCACAGGTCAAGCGCTTTAATTTGACGCCCCATTGCGGTGCACTTCTTATATCCCGGACAAAAAATGCCTTCGCCTAATATATATATATATNAATTTGACGCCCCATTGCGGTGTACTTCTTATATCCCGGACAAAAAATGCCTTCGCCTAATATATATATATATATATATATGTATATGTAGATATTATAGAAACATAACATTTGGAGGTACTGAGTTTCCTGCACTTTTAGACCTGCTCGCGTATTTAAGTAGCTAAATATGTATATATGTATTTACCCATCAAAAGACTAAGCTACCGCCGTAAGGTATGTTTCTCACAGAATCCGCAAAAGATTAAAGAGCAAGAATGAGCCAAAAAAAGTTCTAATTAAGCGCATGACGACGCGACGTGACAGCTCAGATTTAGTTACTGTTTTTTGTTTGTTACTAGAAGCAAACGAAAAAAGAAGTAACAGAAAATACACACCTACGAATATATATCAGGGACTAAACCTTTGTTTTTAACTAAATCCCAGATTTTGTGGGCGTGTCCGTGCCTTTTTAATATTCGCAGTGCAGCATTCCTTTTACATTGAATGACTTTACA